AAAAAAAAAAAAAAAAAAAATCTGAGTGCTACTCACAAACCATGAGTACTTTATTAGAACTCACTTTGGGGAGGCCTGTAAGAAAGGACTTTAAAGACCTGTCACTGAGGCTAACTAATTTCAGAAGACCCCAAGTGCCCATTCCATCCAGGAGAAGGTTTAAGAAAGTTTCCTGATGGAGGGAGCCCTCCCTCTTAGTTCTTGACTTTCTGCTCCCCAAGGAACCAACTCCTCATGCATTTCACCTCCCTCTGCCCCTCCCCTGCTCCTGTGACCACCACTCTCTTCAGGAGACAGTATCCCATCAACACAGGCCCTTAGCACAGATCTGACCAGCATGCAGGAGGCAGGCAGACTTCCAATCACCCTGGATATCCACTCTTGTTGGTCTACAACCAGGAGCAGCTATTTCTCATTTGATTTTATTCTATAGCAAATTCTACAGCAAAACTTAGAGAATAGGTAAAATAAAATTTACTCCTAAAAACATGATGTATCTCTAGTTCTTCTAGTCTCTGATCTCTTGAAAATGTGATTGTGACATGTGGAGTTTACAGAGAACGGCTACAAACCAAGCAGGAGAAAAATCAATCAGGGCCATTCATGTGTAGAGTGATGGCACCAAAGGATGACATGTCTACTGACCTAGTGCTCAACACTGCTAGCTCATTTATTATTTTCCCTTTCATGTAACTAGTAGCCATAAAAAATACACAAAAAAAGCATCCAAGAAATGGCTCAGGGGGTGAGAGCACAGGCTGCTCTTCCAGAGGTCCTGAGTTCAATTCCCAGCAAACACAGGGTGGCTTGCAACCATCTCCAGTGGGATCTGATGCCATGCTCTCTTCCGGCATAAAGGCCTGCATGCAATAGAGCATTCATGTATATGTATAAAATCAATAAACAAACCATAAAAATAAAAATAAAACAAGACTAAGATTCCACTTTGACTCTATCCAGTTTTGACCTGAGCAACTTTCTAAAAGCCCAAACACTGATCAACACAGCAAACCTGCCCTCTGAACACCAGACACTGCCCTATTAACAAATCACAGGCATTCATGAGCATAAGGACCACTGGACCTCAAGAAACAAGCCAGGGAGTCCCTACCTAATGGCCTTGAAAGCATTGATGATCTCTTTGATCCGTGGCACACCCAGGGTGATGTTCATGGAAGCTACCGCTGCAATGTGGAAAGTCTTCAGGATCATCTGGGTGCCTGGCTCACCAATGCTCTAAGAGCCTGACTCCACCTGTGCCCTACAAGAAGATATTGCACAACAGTGAAAAGGACAGCAAAGTTGCTGGGCACAGGCTTCTGGTTACTGCCTCTTAAAGGAAAACATATAGATTCTGTTGGGTTATTATGGAAACAGCAATTGGCCAGACAATGTTTGTGCCAGAGAAAGAGACTGGCACAGACTAGGAACAAGTGCCATTAGGCAAGCAAGATGGTCAGAGGGACAGACAACATGACTAAATTCTGTGTGGTCAGCATGTGATACACAGAGGGCTGATGTCCAGTGTGTGGAGTAGTTTGAAGTGGTCTGCTCTTACTGAGTATTAAGGTGGTCAGAGAGCTGGAATCTGCCACAAAGAACACGAGTTTCCTTATGGACAAAAGAAATCCAGGAAATTCCTTGTAAGTCCTTTCATGTTAAGGAACATCCAGTCAATAGTCCTACTGGAAACCAGAGATGCCAGGCACAAATCTTTCCAATCCTGCAGTGGTGCTGGGACAGTGTGCTTGCTAGTTTTTATTATCAGCCTGATCCGACCTAGAGTCACTTAGAAAGAGGGACTCCCAATAAGGAATTATCTAGATCAGGTTGATTTTTGGCATGTAAGGGGGTTATTTTATAGATAATGTATATGTAAGGGGGTTATTTATTGTTAATTGAGATGAAAAGACTCACCCTAAAATGGGCAGAATCATTTCTTTGGCTGTGGACTGAACTGTGTAACAGTAAAGAAAGAGCATAGGGGGCTGGAGAGATGGCTCAGCGGTTAAGAGCACTGGCTGCTCTTCCAGAGGTCCTGAGTTCACTTCCCAGCAACCACATTGTGGCTCACAACCACCTGTAGTGAGATCTGGTGCCCTCTTCTGCGTGTGCAGGCAGAACACTGTACACATAACAAATAAATAAATCTTAAAAAAAAAGATAGAGCATTGCAGAGCCAAGCAGGCAGCATATGTGTGTTCGTTTCTCTATGCCAATATGATGTGACTAGGGAAGTTCTTGCCTTGACTCCCCCAGATAGACTCTAATCTGGAACTGTGAACTAAAAGTCAATTCTTCCTTCCCTAAATTACTTTTGGTCAGAGTATTCTGTCACATCAACAGAAATGAAACCAGGTCAGCCAGGATGCTGAACCTAGTGAGAATATCCTGTACAGGAGAGTCCTGCATGGATGCCTGGCAGTCTAGAATAATTAGCATGCCCACCTCATGTACTTGTCCCTACAGGTCTCCAGAAACTTTGGGGTGGAGGTGATACGGTCCAACTGGTACAGCACACAAGGCTGGAAGGACAAAGCCAAGTGCACAGTCAAGACCAGCTACATCTGTGAAACCCTGTCCCCCTCCTCCCGTCTGGGAAAGCCGTACTTCTGTTGTGCCATTATCGTTGATGCCATATTTATCTCTGGTTTTCTTGATCTTCTCAGATACCCCTTTAATGCATGTTTTTTCCTGAAATTATTTCCTGAAATAATTACAGAACACACAAAAATTGTATGATTCTCAATGATTTAGACAGCATAATCATTCCATCACCTCCAACAATGGACACAGTGCACCATATCTTAGCAACTGCTAAATACACAGCATCAAGGATGCAGTGTGGGTCTTGGTTCTCTTGCACAGTGTTATAAGGAGTCTTCCACTTGGAAAACTGACACTCTTAAGATGTGGCTAGGTCTCATTACTCAACCATTTCCCATGTGTTGTTTGATATTTTGTTTGAGTTCTGACAAATAAAGCTTGCCTGGAGATCAGAGGGTGGAGCTAGCTACTAGTTAACCATAGAGGGCAGGCAGTGGTGGCACGCACCTTTAATCCCAGCACTTGGGAGGAGGAAGCAGGAAGATCAGGAGTTCAAGGCCACCCTGGGTTACTCAAAATTGAACCAATCTAAAAGAGAAACAGAGCTGGGAGGTAGTAGTGCACTTGTTTAATTCCAGCACTAGGGAGGTGGAGACAGGAATATAAGGCAGGTGGAGACAGGATCTCTCAGATTGCCTAGAGGTAAAAAGTATCTAGTGGCTGCTGCTCTGCTTCTCTGATATCCAGGCAATCTTTATTTGTCAGAACACAAACAAAATATCATACAACACCCATGAGTTATCTTGGGCCCTCAGTCATACTGTTGTGGGAAGAAGCTCAGCATAGCTCTGGGGACTTTACGAGGCTTACATTTCCACACTCAGAGTATGCATGACCCCACTGTGAAGGCCTCTTTGGACACATTATCAATCACTCTGAACATTACTGTTTCTGTCCTATGGTTACAGCTTCTCAGAGTGGCTTGGGATAGTCAGCTCTTTCTCTGTTTGGTTTTTCTCTATGTAACAGCTCTGATTGTCCTGGAACTCACTTTGTAGACCAGGCTGGCCTTGAACTCACAGAGATCCACCTGCCTCTACCACCCACTGCTGGGACTGAAGCTGTGCACCACCATGCCTAGCTCAACTCTTTCTTTATATTGAGAAGGGATGAGACATGGAAGGTAACTCTGTAGTCAGACATCTTTCTAGATAGAAATGATTTCATTTAAGAAAGAGCTTTATGCCAGGCGGTGGTGGCACACGCCTTTAATCCCAGCACTTGGGAGGCAGAGGCAGGTGGAGCTCTGTGAGTTCAAGGCCAGCCTGGTCTCCAAAGAGAGTTCCAGGAAAGGCACAAAGCTACACAGAGAAACCCTGTCTCGAAAAACCAAAAAAAAAAAAAGAGCTTTATTAAAGTAAGAATTAAAGTCTCAGAAAGGGCTGGAGAGATGGATAGGAGTTAAGAACACAGGTTACTCTTCCAGAGGATCCAGGTACAATTCCCCAGCACCCTCACAGTCAAAACCAAAACATAAACCAAGGAAACCTTCAAGGCACACCATAGATGAAGGCCCCCAAGAGGAATGGGAAGACAACACAATGGTTTTCTGATCCTCAATGGAAAGATGCTGCAGTCTGAGACACATGGCAGTCACTAGTGACAGATGCTCAGAATGGCTGCAGGAGTAAGAGTGGACGTGGGCTGGTAACAGGGCTCACACAGACCAGCTCTCTAGGTTCTTTCTCCTAATAGGAAGACAAGACATCAATTCTTCATGCTGGCTAGTGAGATACTGTCCAGAACACAATAAAAACCACATTAAGACCATGGCTTACAAAATGCACTGGGAGGCATTTGACAGACTACGTTCTCACCACCACAGGGCAGAGCCTACCTGCAGGAAGCTGTCTTGGCAGCAGAGGAACTCGTTCTTCTTCATGATGGCCTCAGTGGTCAAGGTGAGCTCGTTCTTACTGAGAGCAGGTTTGCTCTGACATGGAAACACTGCCTGAGTACAGAAGGGACATGGGTTACATATACCTGGTGAGGGGGAGGGAGAGCACTAGGCAGAGGAATTTACCAGACATAAAAACACTCAGTGAGATTTTAGCAACCTGTGGCTCTCTCTGCTAACAAACTCTAGACTCCCCTTTTCATCTGAAAATGAAAACCAGATAAGATGATACTCTGCCTTTTGTTTGTTTGTCTGA